TACGTAATATATCACATTTTTGCTTAAAAACCAGTTCTTTGATTTATTGCCATTATTTGTTATGAATGTTCTTAAAAAAATAACAAAAATAGGAAAATATTTAACAGTTACATCAATGATCTTTAAAATAAGGTGGAAAGGCTGTATCTCAAGCATCTATTCAATTCACGTTTTAGCTTAAATCACATGAGAATATGAATCTCTTTTTGGAAGTTAAGCACACACAAAAAAAAAAAAAAAAGGTCTGGAAAATAGACCAACATTGACAATTAGAAGGAAAATATCCAGTATTTTAAAAGACAAAGTATTATAAAATTTTGATTTAAAGGCCTTTAAATGTGATTTTATGAGGGGCCTCCCTGGTGGCGCAAGGGGTTAAGATGCAACCTATGAAGCTATCTGCAGCCTCTGCAGCAGGAGTTCAATCCCAGGCTAGCCAAGGAGCAACCCACATGGAGCAGCAGACCTCTCCTGACTTGGCTGCTGCTCCCCTCAGTAGCGTACTTCGGTCAATCTGCCTATTCTGTTCCCCACTCTGTCTCTGGTGAATCCTCTCACCCCCCACACCGCTGGCCTGTACCCCACCTCTTGTATGCACAAATAAATAACTCTTTAAAAAAATGTGATTTTATGGTTAAATAGCTTTAAAGTGTTTCATTTGGAATACTGCCAAATTAGTCAACCAGCAAATTATCTTGAAAATGATAGATTTAGGAACCATTTTCAAAATATTAAAATGTGTAACTCACTAACAAATGAGCTATAACTGTTACAAAACCAATTTTAAATTTCCGAGATTTCTTCAAATAATTTTTAATTCACATTTCAACAGCCACAAGAACAACAACTATCATATCTATTCTACATATTATAAAAATGATTTCTTGCCAAATTATGACAAAGTAGAGATGGCTAATATATTAATTTTTTCTATTTCCATTAGTCCTTAAGACGTTTTCTGAGGTAAGTGATAACAGGAGCATAAAATATATAAAATCTTTATAATTAGGAATATTTGTGTCTCTATAAGGTCAAATTATAAATTAGCAGTAAAGAATGTAAAAAACCGCAATCCTTAAAAGATAAATGAAAAATTCAAAACCAAATTATTAATTAATATTTGTCTACTGAGTAATGGAAGCTAAACTAAATCATTCTGAAATTTCTCTTTGGGGAAAAAAAACTTAAATAATTTATGAAAACACATTTATATTAAGCATCTTTATATAATATTTGATGGCAAAAAATTCCAAATATATAACCCCAGAAGTTAAAAAATATCTATTATCCAAATGAGCTGAAGGGTAGGCAATAAGAAGGGATTCTATCCCTCCCTGACCAAAACAAAGTTCAAATGATCATTTTCTCTTATTAGATGAAATGATACTGGAATGAAGTGTCAAAATTTATGTTAAAAAATATAATACCAACAAGTAGTTATTAAATATTTTGTTTCTTAAAAAGATAATATTTAATTATCATATAATTCATATAATGTACCATCAAATATATTAAATCTATTAAAAGCCTATATCTAAAAAAAAAAAATGAAGCCAGACACTTGCAGAAATTTGTATATTTTATCCTACAATCTAACCGTGAATGAAATTTTTAACTTATTATAATAATAAACTGAAAAGGGTATTAATAGCACTTACAAAATAGTTGTAATTTAATTGATGAAATCATCTCAGTAGACTTAAAATCTGCATTAACCATGTATACACTAATTTCAAGACACAAACCTGTGTTTTACACCAGACTCTCAAATTCCTATAAATGTTCCTACAAACTAAAGCATCATCAAAATTTTGAGATTTTTAAATACTAAATATTTTAATAAACACCTTGAAGAGTGAGGGATGAAAAATTTCACAAATATAATGTTTATATATAATATAAGTTACATATACTAATGCTAAGTCTTTAAAATATACTTTTTTTGGAAGAAGTATTTATTTTGACTGATATCACTCTTTTAATATTAACATGACAGAATACTTATTACCAATTCATAAAATATGATCGCTTAAATCATAAGCCAATCTGAAGAAGTCAAGTGATAACTGCCATTTCAATCCACCATGGTCACACACCTACCTCAAACAGCAAGACATCAACAAACCTACAGACAGGGAAAGTTCAGCATCTTACTGTTTCTGAATAGGAGTTTGTGACATTACACAAACTAGAAGTTTGACTTTATTATTGCCAACAAACTTGAAACAGAATTATGTAACCAAAAAATTACAGCTCTGTTTTAAACACAACTTAATTCATTTCATGGTAACTGAGTTGCTCTTGATGTGTATGTAATTCTTTGTAGTCAACATTTTCAAGAGAAAAAAATGTTATTTTAAAGAAACCAATCTCTTATTTCCTCAAATATATACTATATCTGAGATGTATTCCAGAAGACCTTTTAAAAAATTCTTGACACATGTACTTCTGAACACAAAAAAAGGCGTCATATATTAAAAAATGATTAAATAATGATGCAGTTGATAAAAATTCCTAACTGTTACCAGTACATCTTCTTTCAAAAGCCCTAGTGTGCTTTCTGAGATGCTCATATAGTAAAAATGGCAGCTAAAATAATAAATATATTTTAACTTTTACAAAAACATTCTTGAATTGCAACCTTATTATGTATGTGATGCTCACAAGATACCTCTATGCATCATTTATGACCTTCTAGTTGTTACTTGCTGCATGGCTTAAATCAGTGGGATTACTGCCTTCTTTAAAATAATTACTCCTATGTTTATAAACAATCTATGTAAATCCCAATATAAAACAAAATCCATTTACCTTAGCATCAAGGAAGAAAAAAAGAATGTAACAACTGAGTCCCAAGTAATTTTTTCCTAGAAACAAACTGAAATATATTATAAAAAATACTGTAATCATATAAAACTCCCGTAAAATATCACTTTCTAATTTTAAAGCTAAAGATTATCATGGCTCTAGTTTTTTTTTTTTACATCAAAAAAGGCTAATGCTTAATTTTTACTGATTTTTTACATATTTTTTCCTAAGAGATATCTCAGTGTACGCTTACAAATACGTATTTTAAAACAAAATATCATATATACCATTTTAATACTGTTCTTTCAGTAAACAGATATGTAACAGAAGAGTAAAGCAAGTCTAATATTAATGTTTGTGCTTGAGAAACTGCTTGTTATATATAAATAAAACTTTTCCAGCAATATATTATTTCTAAATTCAGTCTACACAGGTTTATCAATACATAATAAATATATAGTTTAAATTTGGGTGTTTCATGGTTCTAAACATTAATATTGGTTAAAAGAATGTCTAATAGATGAATATGTTAAAAGATAAACATAGAAAAACAAATTATAATAAGGTGTGATCAGACAAAGAAGGAAAAGGCTACCTTTTTTCATTCATCTATAAAACAAATTTATGAGACCGTAAAGAACAATTTAACAACCTAAAAAAGGTTCAAAGCCAGGAAACCCAGAGCCTGAGAGAAAATGGATTTGGTCAGTGATTTCAGTCATTCACTCTACAGAAGGAAAAAAGCAGAAAATGTGACTTTATTTTGCAATACAATGTAGGAGGCATAAAATCAGTAGCCTGCCTGTGGACTGCTATTTATGTATATAAACCCGGTTTCAATTCGCAGATTATGCTGAGCCTTACACGTGTAAACAACCAATAATGATGGCCAGGCCTTCAGGAAAGGAAAACACACCACACAGCAAGGTCAGAAAGCTACCCAGCACCACAGGACAACAGACCAAAACAGAATGGTTTCATGTGTTTCTATTGTTTATATACTTAGTTTGAAGAAGATATTCCTTAGGGGGTAAAAGAGGTTGTAAATATTACCAGAACATGCAACACAGTGCCAAATAAAATACATAATTTTCAGGCAGTTATACTATTTCCTGCTTGCATTATGGCAGTCAACCTGTACAACTGATGGCCATTCATTCTTTTTTAACTTAGACCTAAAGCCAAAATAAACCACTTTAGTCTTAAATGCTTTTTCTTCTATCTGTGAATTAATCACAGAGAATTTATATTTCTTAACTACTTTCAATAGAACCATCAGACTTGTAAACTACAAATATCCTTTTCACCATTAAAAAAAGATTAACAATAGAGAAAAAAGTGCAGGGGTATTAATTTTTTCTGGGTAAAATTTTAAAAACGAGAAGCAATGACATTCTCTTTAGCATCTAACAATTAAAAAAAAAAAATACGATATAAGATAGGGTGGAAATTCAGCCCAAGGACTAGTACATTTTAAATGCACTAACCAGAGCCGCCTCTGGCCACATGTTTTTTTAAAAGTTGTCTCTTAAAGAGACAGTATCCTTGTAACTACAACCTACACGGAGCACATTTCTAAAATGTTTGATTACCAAACATCCTCCCTTGCATTTCTTCAAGTCATACTACGGCTACAGTGTCGATTTTACTGTGAAATCAAATATTTATGTGACCCTACAAATGACTATATACGGCAGGTAAAGATGAAAAAATAAGGAAAACTGGCGTGACTAGCAAGTGTCTGAAACAAGAGGACCTCCGTGTCCTATAGCAGCAAATGTGTTCTTTTTAAACTTCAAATGATCACTGTTTCTTCATTCATTTCCACTCTCATTCACCAGACACAGGAGGCAGCGTATGTTGTAACCGGTAACACCGGAAGCCCAAACTACCGCAATTTCACTGTCGAATGAGTGAAAACTTGCTACTACAGTGAACCAGCACTGAAGCAATGAAATTTCAAAGATTTAAATTTGTTTGGTAAAAGATACCCGGGAAGGGGCATACACACAACCTTAAAATTGGATTAGCTCATAGTGGGAAGTAAGATCGTGTCTTTCAGCGCACTTAAGGGGACCTTATTGTTTGTGCTTTGACAGAACTGCTGATCAACGCCTCCACAAGGAGAAAGGTGAAGGGGGTGGGGGTGGGGGGAGGGGGGGGGGGAGGGGAGGTTAAAAAGTTTGGCTTACTTGGTGTACAAATACATCGACTGGAATATCCAAGGGGCTTCCCTCTCGATTTATCATGGAGATGAATCCAAATCCCATTCGCACATTGAACCACTTACAGTGGCCAGTTCCGTGCAAAATCTGGGATTCCTCCTCTGCCTGCTCCGGCAGCTTCCCGGACTCTTCTCCACCACCTTTGCTTGCCCCTCCTGGGATAGAACAGGACAAAAAAGTCAGTTAGTCTGTATTCCCATAGCGTTCATTCAAACAGGAAAAAAAAAAAAAATGCCGAGGGGCTAAAGGGAAAGGAAATAGGAAAAAAACCAAGGGTGGTTGATTCCTTCCTTTCGTCTACAGAAAATATTTATAAAGAAAGGGGTTAAAAGGAAAAGCGGAGGAGAGGGGGAGCCACACTATTCTATCGATCACGTCAACTTCCACATTTCTGTACATACATGTACTTTTTTCATTAAACTCCGTTTTTCAGCCACATACTACAGTACAGCATGCGATACTTTACTTGCATATTGCTGATTGAACACTGATCCCATTAATAAAGAGTAAATTTCAGCGAGACTATTCTCTCCAGCAGGCACGAGGAGGAAAGACAAATCCTTGAAGATGGTTAGAACTAGTTAATGCACATGCATGCGGCAGCAGTGAAGACAGGGTTATTTGCAATGTGCATTCCCCTCCCCCCCCCATAACTTTCAATTAAAGTTGGGGTAGGTTGGGGGAGGGGGCAGGTGTATAAAAGTTTTCTTGGGTTCGCAAACTGAAACTGCGCTTAATCACACTCAAACAATTCAAACAATAGCCCCCTGAAAGCTTTTCAAGTTGTGAATCAGTGTGGGCGGTACAAAACATTTTTGGAGATCTATAACAATAGGTTGCAGAAAGCCCCATTGCGAGATGGGGGGTGGGGGTAATGCCCAGTATTGGGGTAAAAAGGGAAGGAGGGACGGGCAAAGGCGGGTGGGAGAAGAGGAGGGGTGAGAGAAAGGTAAAGAAAAATCACGGTAAAACAATAGAAAAGAAAATTAACCTTCGGCCATGTTGCCCCACGGGCCCTCTGCTCCAAACTCGTGAGATGAAAACTTTCCCTTTGGAACGGAGTGATCTTCTGCATCAATCTCACATCTTGATTTTGGGCGATCACAAATTTAGCTCGCATGGTCTAATGTGCTTTCCCTCTTTTGATTTTTTTCTCTTCTCTCTCCAGTTTCTGGCCCCCTGAGCACACGTGACTTTGTCAATTACATGCTTTCTTGCTACTAATTTCACCTCGGATCCTTAAGGGGCTGGCAAGAGGAAGAGATAACCAATCGCCATTTCATCTATGCTGACACCCAAATACTTTATGAATGAACACGAAAAACTCATGTTATCTCAAAGACAATTTGGGACGCTTCTTTACGATAAATCGGAATGCTGATTTCGTGCTTCTACTTAAACACAAAGGAGGGTCCTCGCGAATCGTCGATTTAGAAAAAACGGCACAGTCATATACGTGCACGCGCGTGCCTCGCAAGCCGGTCTCGGGCTCCTTTAGGAGCAAAGGCTATTTAAATACAGCAACATGTTACGCTTTTCTTCCCTTTAAGAATTCGGTGCTCAGTAGCAGTAACCCTGCTAGGGATGCAAATTTCATACTTAATTCAAATCTTAGAGAAAAACAACATGATTTACAAAAAAAAAAAAAGAGAGAGCTAATTAACCTAATCACATCCCCATAAAACTTTAGATAATGGCAACATACACCTTCAGCAAGACAAAAATCATACAATTAATTACCTGATGATGCCCAGGAATTTTTTTCAAATTTAAAATCGTACCGGAAAAATCGCTATCACCTTCCTGGAGTCAAATTGTGTTTAGGTTTTATCATTTCGGAACATTTTCGAGGGGGTCGGTAAGGAATTGCACTTCACAGGTTTCTCCGCCATCTCTATCCCGGGAGGAGATGTGATTAATGACTTCCTAAATAACAGCCCGGTTTCAAGCCTAACATACAGTGAACCTCAATCAGTGGCGATTGTTCCCCAAGAGCAAGCCTACGTAGGGCAGGGAGGGGGAGGGGAGCGCCATGCAGGGGAGGTGAAGAGGAGCCGCCACCAGAGGCGGCAGCAAAGCCAGAGAAAGGGGGTGGGGGCAGTAGCTGTGCGGGTGGGAGAGCGGGGGTTGGGAAGAGGGAAAGTGGGACCAAAAAAAGTAAATTCATATCATAGTGACTAGACCCTGCCATTTTAAAAGCCCACTACCAGTGACTAGAAGAATCAAATAAATGAAAATTTAATTATGGATTAGGTCCCACCGGTTCCTTCCCGGCCCGCCCCCAGCTTCAAAATGCTTACTCTTTACTTTTTGAAATGGTTCAAAGGATTGTCGATGACTAAGATGCTGACAACAATATTACCGCCCTCTCGGAATACGACAATAAATGTATCAGCTAGAAATGGTTTACTTCCTACATACAGAAAACATCACTGGTTTTTGAAACATTAAGATTGCACCACCACTCTTTCCCCACCCCACCCCCATTTTCTTAAACAAGCAGTTTACCGAGAAACTGTACAGATACCACTTCCCTTTGGCAAAGCTACGGAGCTGACCCTCCCCCACCACACCCGCAATCCCCCTCCCAGTCCAAACTCCTAACTCTAACACTGGTTCACACAAACTGAACTGTAGGGATCCTGAACCTAAGTTACTGAAAAATCCACATAAGCAACTATTTACACCTCCTCCCCACATTAAAAACCTAAACATAAATGTATACGAATTAGTTCCAATCTGAAATAAATGATGTATGTAAATGTTATTTTCCGTTGTTTGTGGTAAATGGCGTCAATCAACACTGAGGATTCAGGGGAAGATTCTTCCGGTTTATTTCTTTTGTTGTTTCTCAGGAAAAAGGGCAGAGCTTTCCAATTCTATTTACTTTGGGGTGGTGGGTATGTGCCAGCTTGTAGGGAGGGGGAAATGTGTAAAAATTAAGAGATTTTGCAAGAGTAACAAAAGGTTAAAGCTCTCAAAAAATTATTTGCTAACAAAACATTTACTAAGCACTATATTAAAAGGCAGAAATCATCCCATTACAGTGACCTATAATGAAGTACCTTTAACTATGGTGTTCCAGGTTAAACATTTCACATAATGTGAAATATAAAGATTAATTTATGTGGTTTTAATTTAAGTGAATTACTTCAAAAATCAACAACTGGTACAGAGATTAAAACCTGAAAAAGTATTCATGCAAATTGAGGGGAGTGTTATTATTTATGTAAAAGTGATTATCATAAAATTCACAGGCTTAGTTTAGTTTGTTTTGTTACAGATACACATTTATGGTAAGCACTAGTTTATATGTAAGTTTGTGTTTAATTAGAAAATAGTTTAATCATTGTGAAATCAGAAACAATATGGTGGATTCTGAATGCTTGCTTATTGTTAAATTTGATGAAATTAGAATTTACATAGATGAAAAGTGTGAAATATCATTACTGAACTACACTGGATGGTATGTTTATGAAATTTAAAGTCTTGCCTGATTGGGTGCCTCCAGTATTAGTGGAATTAAGGTAAGGTTCACTGGACTGGTCATTGGTGTCAGAGGTTATCGACTCATTTATTTCCTGAGAAGGACATCAGCCTTTCAAGTTGTGTAGAAGGCTTTTTCCAACTGAGAACTCTGAGAAACCCTCTAAAGAATTTAAGGGGAATGCATTTAAATACCTGGGGTTGAGGTAGGGAAGATGAGGGAAAGGGAAGCAAAAAGAAAAGGAATGAGCAGAGGGAGAAGAAAGGGATGAAATTGAAAAGATAAAAAAGTGAAGCAAGGAGACACAAATTATCACCCACGAATTCAGGGATACCACTGTCCTTTAAAAATAGATTTGTGCAGTCTGTTCCCCTCATCTTTTGAGCCCACCATCCTTTTATAAAATGGCCATAATTTCTTTAAACTCAGAGTGCTTCTTTCACATAAAATGGTCCTATGAATCTCCTAGAATGCTTTCCAATTTGTCACCTTCCTGAGGTCTTCTGGTTTTAATTTTTTTCTCATTTCCGACTTGTTTTTAGTGCCAGAAAGACCTGTGCTTGACTCAAAACGCATGTTTTATACTTGTGAAAGCCAAATGTTTTAGTAGTGTGATTTATCATAGTTCTTTCAAAATGTCTTTAAAATGAGTTTAAGTAGCTACAAAGAACTGGCAACCCTCAAGAGGGAAGAGGGAGGGGGAAGTCAAGGAAATAACCTTCCAAAAGGCTGTAGGTTATCACGATCTAAATTTTCTCCATTTAAATTACGAAGTGTACATCTTTCCGGAGTTTTTGTTTGTTTGTTTGTTTGTTTAATTCCAGCAATACAATGTAAGAATTCCAAAGAGGTGCCAGAGTCCACAGTCCTTGTTTTCAACTATAAGTAATGAGTGACTTTTATTAAAGCAGAAACAATGCTTTGGTTCTTCTTAAAACTAGGAGGAGGGGCCGTGACACTGCAGCAAAGGACTCCACCCGCGCGCTCTCCTCCCGGCAAATAAGGCTGGGATCTGCAGCCCCAACTCTGCTCTGGCGGCCACACTCCGCTCAGCCACCCCGCAGCTCCAGCGCCTGAGTAGCTTAGACCCCAGGGCAGCTGATCTGCCCTCTCCCTCCACCTCCAGCCCTGGCAACTTCCTCTCTGCTTTCTCCCTTCAGTCGCCTTTCCTTTCATCATCTCCCCACCTCGTCTCTAGAAGTGGAATCTTACGAAAGAAGGTTGATTTCTCACTCATTAAGGGTCTCCTATTTTCCAGTTTGCCCCCAAGAACACCAAACAAAAGAACCCTTGCCTTCACCACTGTAGCAGACAGCATTTGACACAATCTACTGCTTTTCTAGACATGTGTCATTTATTTTTTAATCAATCTACAGAATGTCAGAGTCTCCAAAACCTAAGAAAAGTGAAGTCAAAGGGGCGCGGGATACAAGGGGACACCCGAGAAAATGTGCACCCCCCAACACCTCACCAGGGCAGCCTTAAATGAAGTTATTTTCAGATAGACCCCTGACACGGTCCTGTCGGGAAGCCATGAAAAACATCGTCATGCTTTTTTCGGAGCACCAGGAAAAGCTACTGGCAGGGAAGGGGTGGAGGGGCGACCAGAGGTGTTTTTAGGGAGTGTGCATTCTGACCTCAGCTTGAGGCTTCCTGACTAAAAGCTGCCGGACCTCACGTCGGGCAAATGGTTCCTGCTCCTTACCTATGCGTTTCAGTAAACTGCTCTGCAAATAACTTTGTTGAAATTCTTACAGTACTAGTCAGATGAAAGGAGTACTTGGCTGGTCTGCCACCCTACAGTAGAGGGACTTCAGTATGAGACATTTTGTTTTTGTTTCCAAAAAAACCAAAATTCTGTTCTCGTTTAATTTCCTCATCTGGAAGCAAAATGCTCTGGTTTAACACAATTTTTCAATTTGGTAATTCTTACAGAGCCGTAAAAAACCTCTTTAAATTTTCTTTTAAACACATCCTTAACAAATTTCCCCAGGTATAATTACACAAATTTATAGAAATACAGGAACTGAATAGTATCAATTCTACATTTTCCAGACAAACTGTCTTTATGTTTAAAAATGCAAACATCAGCAAATTTGTCCTCTGTTTGGTCAGTTATGTTAAGGCAAAATAATTTAGAGAAACAAAATTAGTTTAGAGAAGGAACAATTGGTAGAAAGTTTCTTTTTTAAAAACTGGGGAAGAAAATCCTATTCTATAAACATTCTTCCCTCCCAGTGAAAAGGAAAGGTAGAAAACTTATTACTCCTTACAAATATTTTCATTAGTGTGCTCAACAAATATCTTCTTACATGATTTTAATTAGAACAGTAACAGGTCAAAAAAATCATTTAATTATAAGCATTACATTACTTTGCCCAGAATAACACAAAAGGAAGTTACATGTTTTCTTTGAAAAATGAGTATTTTCCACAGGTACTGTAACAGGGTTCTGGGGAGCTCCACTCCCTACCCTATAACAGTACTACTTGAGCTTCATAATGAAGCTATAGAATCAGCACTAATGACGTAAATACACAATTCTTGCCCTCCCCCAAAGCAATGAATAGAAGTTTATTCTTTAAAAAGCAATCTCTTCAAAAGAAATAATCAATTGAAATAACAGCATGGATTGCTTCGCAAGTATTTATTTGAATATTTTAACTTTGGGTTTATTTGGGAGAAGGGACAAGTAGATGGGAAAAGGGAAGGAAGAGAACAGTGAAGTAAGAGATGAGATCAGTGGGAAATTTTCAGATTTTAAAGATGCCTATGTCAGAAGCAAATCTGAGGAGAAAAGGGATCCAACTAGAAAGTGGAGGCCAGAGTTCTGGTCCCATTTACTGACCTTGTACTAATAATAATCACTAAGCTTCTCTGGGGCCTCAGTTTCCTCATCTGCAAAGTGAGGAAACAGGACCATTTGTTCAAGTCTTTCCGTTTAAAAGTAATCTCTAGAAATAACTTTGCATTTGGTGAAAATAGAACCCCTTTTAATCACAAGGAAACACAGACATGAAACTTTATTGCAGTCACTTAACACATTGGTGTTAACATTATTTCCCAACAGAAAAGAAAAAGAACAAGGTCTCTTGACTGCCTTCAGTTTGCCCTCAGAGAAAAACCACAATCAATAGTAAGGGGTAACTAGTTAAAATAGTGCAGAAACTTTTCATAATCTTCCTGTTCAAAATACTCAGTAGACTATCATCTCCATGTCAAAGACTCACTGGAAAAAGTAAAGTGTCTGTCAAATGGCAATGCCTATTGGTGATTGCATAACTTTTTTACCCCTACTTGCTATCTAAAATTTTGTATTTGATAAGCTTAACAACAGAATAACATTTTGCTTGTACTTGTATTTTACTCGTACTTATTGAAGCTCATAAACTTTGATCAATCAGTTCTTCAATGTGTTTCCAAAGTAGAATTAATCCAGAGTAGAGCCAAGACATTAAATTCATCAGAGCAGAAGTCAGTAATCCATTATTACTAAAGAAAACTTACTGAAAAAATAGTGTTGTAACTTTTTTTTAAAAGATTTATTTATTTATACAAGAACTGGGGTAGACAGTCCAGATGTGTGGGAGGGTGAGAAGATTCACCAGAGACAGAGTGGGGAACAGAACAGGCAGACTGAGGGGAGCAGCGGGTGACACAGGAGAGGTCTGCCGCGCCATGTGGGTATCTCCTGGCCGGCCAGGATTGGACCTGCACTGCAGAGGCTGTAGACAGCTTCACAGTGCAGTGCTCAACTGCCTTTTAAGTTTATTTCAATAATATATGAAAATATTCATATATCCGAAGTTTAAGTTTTACAGTAAACCTAAATAAATGAAACTAAATGAAAATGTCTAGGTTTAAAATGTTAAAAGTTCAGGCCCCTGGTGGCCTAGGGGTTGAGTCTCAGCACTATCACCCCTATGGCCTGACCGCTCCTGTCTTGCCCTCTGCTCCCCTTAGAAGTGTATTTCAGTAAAATCTACCTGTTCTGCTTCCCACTCTGTCTCTGATGAATCTTCTCACCACCTCCACCACCCTCCTCCCTGCACCTGTGGCCAACACCCCAGTTCTTCTATGCAAAAACAACAACAAAATTTTAAATGTTAAATGTTCAAATCACTCATTTTTGCACCATAAAGAAAAAATGACACATTTATGAAGACCAAAATAAATGAGCCACTCCTCAAGATTAGAGAAATTTTGGGATTCCTTGAAAAATGTCAATATGTTGAAATATTTGTTACAGTAAATTATTATAAAGTAGCACCAAGTCTTTATCTTAAAATTAATTCAACAGGGCCTCCTCAGTGGCGCAGTGGGTTGAGTGCCGCACTGTGAAGCTGTCCGCAGACTCAGCACGGGTTCGACTCCTGGCTGGCCTGGGAGAAACCCACAAGGAGCCACATACCTCTCCTGCCTCGCCTGCTGCTCCCTTCAGCAGTGTCTTTGGTCTGTCTGCCTGTTCGGCTCCCCACTTTGTCCCTGGTGAATTCTCTCACCCTCCCGTGCTTCTGACCTGTACCCCAGTTCTTGTATAAATAAATAAATCTTTTTAAAAAAATTAACTAATTAATTCAACAAGTATTTAAGTGCCTGCTTTATGCTATCAGTCACCAAAATGAACAATTCATAAATACTTTCATTCAGCTACATAAATATTTAAATCTCTTTTATCTATCCTGCTTGAGTGATAGAAAAGGAAATCACAAAATCCAATACTGCTAAAATTAGAAAAGAAGGGGTTAATTTGTAGATTCTGGTGGGTGTTACAGATAAAGTGAACTGGAATATGGTGGGATATGGTACCCATCTTGCCAAAGTGGAGAATTCCCAAGGGCTGCCAAGTTTCCTCATATGCCACTAGGGATCTTTTTAAAATATAGTTAAGTAAAACATATAATTGAAAAAAAGACTAACCTGGGGCTGATGAAACCTGGTTGAATGACCTCATCATCTTCTGAAGAACCTAAAATCAGAGAGCTCAAGTCAGTACTACATTAATTGGCTCTTTAATTGCCTCTTCTTCAGTTTAATGGCTTATTAGAAAGCAATAAAATGCCTAAGTTCTGACTCTGTGAAATGACCTGTAAATTTTTTTTTAACAATTTAAGACTCACCTACCAAATTAGATGACCACTGGCATAAACTTGCCTTTCATTCTGATTAAAGGACAGTGGTTTAAAAACATTTTAAATAAGACCATTAATAGGATTCTGATTTCATAAACAATACACTTTTAAATTCTTTAATATTTAATTTTACACTGTAATTCAAGAATCCCATTATTTTAACCACAGTTAAAAATCAACCAAACTCAGAATATGGTGTTTCTGGAACTTATTTGAATAGTCTCTTAGAAATATCTTAGAAGATAAATCATGAAAATCTAATTGTGGTACTACTGATATTGGGTCCTTCATTAATTTTAAATACTTTCTGAGAAAAAAAAATTAATGACAATACACTTAAATATTAAGTACATTGAACTAAAATTATATAATCTGCATTCATCCAGATTTTATAAAGCAGTTGTCATTTAAAAATACAAATGGATATTGATGTTTCTAATATATCTGTATGTATCTAATATATATGTTGGCAGATGTCACAACATAAGACTGGCAATAAAGAAGTCACCCAGTATGAAGTCTACCAATTGGAAGAGAAGCTCCTAATGGTCACTGAATTCTCTTTTTAATCTTCAGGTCAGTTATTAAGGTTTGGTAAATAGATTGGTTTGAACATGCATCCACTCACCTGCTACCACCCAGGGTTGTCTTTCTTCCCTCAACTAAGTTTTACATACTATGTCTACTATATCAACTCATGAGAAAGAAACCATTATGTGTAAATTCTTTAAGTTGCAATCTAATTTTCTTCTTAAAACAAAATGGAGGCTTTTCCAAGTGCAGAATTCTACTGAATGTTGACCCAAGATTCTTCTTACAAAGGATGACAATCCCACTGAGTAAGATTTGAAAAGAATAGAGGAAGAATGTGAACAAAAGACACGTGAATTTCTGTACATTAAGTCCTTCAGTCATCCTGTGTTCACAACCAAAAGACAAAAGACATGATAGATACTAACATTAATAAAACGTTTTGAAATAGTTCTCCTTTACACTGAGCATCCATAGTCTTATTTTCACATTTGTTTTCTGTGGAGCGTGTATTTAACTTTATACATAAATTTTAGGAAAATCCTAATTCATGCTTTTCTATTTTAATAGCCCACAGGTCATGCTTGATCTTGTTTATCTGCTTATATTTATAGAAAAGTACATGCAAACATATCCTAAAGATGTATAAAAACAATCAATAGGATATATAAAAAAAGTCCTTCAAATAATTCAGATGATAAATTATAAATAGAGTGAAAGTCAAATGGCTTAAGAAAGTGTGCTAAACAGTGGTATTAAGAGATCTATGCTTTTCCTATTTAAAAAAAGCCAGATTTGACTTGGTAGAGATTTTCATATTTTTCACTAACCCAACCTTGTTTGTTATTGAGTTTTAAAATATCATCCCTTTCAAAGGAAATACTGATTTACTGCAGATATTAATATATTTCACCAAAGTTTAAATAATATTCTAAAACTTTTTAGAAAAAAATAGGAATAAGTAAATGTTATACAAAATATGTATAACATTAAGGTTCATATTCTTTTGTAGGTATAATAGGTAACTTTGAAATGAAATAATTAAAATATTTAAATGCATAAATGCTCATAAAATGGCTATTTGTTAACTTTAAAAAAGGGTAATTTATTTAATACTACAAGTTTGGGTAAGTATTAGAAAACAAAAATCAGGGCCTCCCCTGGTGGCGCTGCGGTTGAGCGCTGGGCTGCAAGGCGCCCGCAGCCTCTGCAGCGCTGGTTCTTTCCCTGGCTGCCGGCGAGGGTCCCACAAAAAAAAAACCAAAAAAAAAAAATCAAATTCAAATTGTGCTAGAATGCATACATCTCTCTGCCCCTTCACGGCAATAATCCTTCATTTAAGACTTTATTTACATATCATTTTCTTATTGTTACATATTGAGTACAATGCCTCTACTGTGTTATAGTGTAGTATAATTGACTGTAATAGCCCATGAAATGTTCTCTCCCAACCTGACTCTACACTCTATGGTAGCACAAACTGCGTATATTTAGCTCATCATCGTTTCCTGGCATTCTTTAGTGTTCAAAACATATTTTCATAACAAATCAATGACAACAGATTTATGAACCTGGATTGACTAACTCTGGGACACCTTTTATAAAACATATGGGCTTATATACAAATTTTTCTTAGAAACCGTCTTTTAATAAAAAGAGAATATGACAGGCAATTAGTCATTTGACGATTACCAATATAAAATACATGTAATATATAGTAATTTTGATAATTTTATTATAAATATATGGACTTACTATAATAAAACTGCCAACACTATTCATTACAAACACTAATAGATTTCCCATTTCCTATTAAGGTAAATATATATTATTTATAAATATTATATATTTATATTTATATATATTATATATTTATATTATTTATAAATTCATAATATATTAAAATATATTCACAATCTTTTCAATTTTCAAGTACTTTAGTTGTTGCTAATCCACTATTATGACTGTTCAATGTAAAGAAAAATGATTGGTACTATGCATTACACACTGTGATTTACTAAAAACTGCCAAGTTGTTAAGTCCGGAGAATTAAAAAAAAAAAGGCCACTACATAGTATATGACTCAGAATTTTATTTCAATTTACACCATGTTAGCTTTTAATCCTTATATAAACAAGACATAAACATTCCTTTAAACTGGCAAAAAAAAAAAGATTTAACAATTGAGTATTTAACATAATAAAATTATTTCACGTCTCATCACTACAATTTCTCAACGTTTTAAAAAACGTTGTAAGATAAATTATTTTCTCTTATCAGTGCTTTTAAAAAAATGTAAGTGTAAAGTACATCACACAGTTCACTAAATGAAATACTCACATTATGGTTTATAACAAAAACTCTATTTACAACATGTCTTAACTGCTAGAGAATTAAATATATTATTTGGAAAGGAAAGAAGGGAACAATGTGACTTTTCTCCCTTAGAAGAATAATTGGGGGGATTTAAATGATCCTTCTTAAAATCATATGGCAAACAACCTACACAAACAAGTGAGTAAACCCAAAGCACAACATTTATTTACATTTACTGTAACAGATACACATATAAGACAAAATTCAGATGTATAAATTCAACATGGAAAATAGTGTTTCTTTACACTTTTCTCTAACATATTCAATATGTATTAAAACCCTTCACTGTTAATTATTTTTTGCAAATTAACAGACTAAACTCAAATGTTGTTTAAACAAGACCAGAATAACATAGCTTGCAATTTAACACAACACCCGCTGTAATTTGAGATGTGTACCCTCAATTATACAGAGATACAGAAAATTTAAAGAAAATAATCTTAAAAATCAAAATAAGGCAAGTATTTACTTGTGCTCCACAGCAGAAAAATCATAGGTATTGAAGTGCTGAAGCAGGAAACTTCACATTTAGTAAAATATTTTGAACATCATCTTGAGGTATTACTATAGGAAAAACTTATAAAATTTATAGTTTTTATAAAGTAAATAATAATACATTATTTGTTTTCTTAATTATTTTATGTAAATACTTAATTTAAATTAGAGATTAACATTTGTTATACTTCTGAAACCCAAAGGTGAGTATATCTTTCTCAGTCATTTCACAAATTGAAATTTTATTGGTTTTACATGAGAAATGTGCATCTCTAGCACTCCCTTCAAACAGCATAGAAAATAATTTATTCTAGAAAATAAAAAACTTTAGTGACTTATAATTTAAGCCAACTGGCATATTACCAAGAGTGCTTAAAGGCACTGACTATGACACAAATGTTAATTGGTAGACAAGTTCTTTACCTTAAATATGAATGTTGTAATACAACTGAGGCAAAGCATAGTTTTGCTAATGCAAATAGTATGTGTTTTCCATTATATGAAACAATGGTTTTATACAATAAAGCTCATAGTTGAGTCAATGTTGAAGTCACATTGAATAAGATTAAAAAAAATAGTGGCTGTAAAAAGAATGAGAATAAGGGTAAAATTTCTATCTTAAAGAAGCTTATCACACATATTTTGAAGATCTACATGCTTTAACATTAAAATTTAACAATTTCTTGATATCATAAACAAAATTGATTCCAAATAAACCGGAACACTTCATTTCAATGTCAGTTAGAAATTTTATTTGACATACATTGTAATTTTAAATATGCAACAATGTTAATGGTTTAAAAATTATAACAAGAGTTAACAACTAAATGAAAACTTCAATTCTTTCAAAATAGTTTCAGTGCACATTTTAATGTAAAAAAAAGGTGAAGAGATATTTTAGAGGTAGTTCATCTTTATATAAATGCCAGTAACCTAATGGGATAACAAATGTAATATTAAATAAAAATTTTAACTAGCAGAGGAGTAGATTATACCAAGGCAAAGTAAAAAAGATAAAATTTACATATTTTTCTAAAATTTTAAGATACAAAAAATTAAAGTTTTTTTTTTAGCCTATACAGTGTAAAACATTTTCATTGAAATATTTCTGTAGAGTCTGAAAAAAAGTTAGATAAAAGAATAGTTCAAAAAATAAAAATGCACCACTTCAGCTCTTACATTGTCAAATAAGTCTGAGAGAAATACTGATAGGAAAAGATGTACAAAATTTAAGGCATATTTTTCCATCATTAGAACTGGTCATTCAACCTCCTTTCTATATAATTAAGCTTTTGTTCAGCCATGAGAAAACTAGAAACTGATTGCTTGAAAATGAGCTGCATGCCCTTTGTCCTGGTTTGTCACCTTTGACCCTTAATTTGATGATCCTGCATATCAACCCATTCTATTTTTAGG